GTCCAACGTGAGGTCGAGTCCCACGTACAGCAACTAGAAGGATGTGAACCTATGACATACAACTATCTACTGGGGCTTTGGGGGGAAAAAACTGAATAAATAAAATCTTTAAAAAAAAAAAACAAAAAAAGAACTTCAAAAATATGAGAAAATAATTTAAGATATCACTGCCTAATATACAGTTCGGTAGATTTGACAGCTGAAACTAGGCTAATGCTTTTGATAATGGAGTATTCCTGCTGTAGATTTAAGCATATATATTAGGACACCAAACAGTGAGAACTAACAGCTTTATCTCACTCATTTTGTAAATTTGGAGAGTAACAGCCAAAATAAATGTAAATGATCTCTATCAAAATTTAGCATTTTTATCTATAAAGATGCAAATCAGTCAAGGGGAAATGTGTATGTAGTGTGTGTATATACAATGTATGTGATTTTGGGGCACTAAAGCACAAAAAATTTCCCCATAAAATAAAATAAACCTTCAGGAAAAAAAACTGAACAAGCATAAACTTTTTCACTTCAAAGGAATATTGAGCAAGCAGACATGAATCAGGATGTTAGGTTTATGGTGAATTACCTTGGAGGTGTGTTGCCCTAGTACCAGCCAATGTTCTTGTGGTCACCTTCCTTGCTGTTGCACACCGAATTGAAAATTCATCTCTTCCTTCTGCTCACGAAGCAGGTCAAGTACGTCTTGCTTAATTATTTCTTCTCCATGAACGGCCTTAACGTTATTTTTGTATTCAAGTGTACTGTTAACTGAGGGTCTCGAAGCACTATGTTCTAGCTCCACTTAATTGGGCCTGCCTCATTTTTCTAGGCCTCCTCACAAGCTCTAATTTTTATTACCATTCATATTCTTTCCACTTTGATGTTTTATTCATTATGAAGTACACTGATCTTCCTGTCTCCTTATAGAATCTCACTCTATTGAGTGGTTCCCATTTTACTTTTCACTTATGTACATTTTGGAGGGTTTACGTGCAAAGCAAAAACAAATTTTGAAAAATAAGACAAATCTATTCTCTTCCCTCTACTCAGTTTAACATATGTCATAATACCTTTTAATCTGTTTTATCTTCTAAGTCAATTTCATTTTCCTTTTTGATTGGCTAGCATCCATACCAATATGTGAGATTTTATTGCAGTTTCCCTCTCTCCAATGAGGACTTTGTTATTGCTCATTGCCTAAGAGGGGAGAATCACTAATTAGGAGAAATCCCACCTAATAAAAGCAAAGATGTGCCATGACCTTCAAAGATAAAGACCTACTTTTGCATTTTCACCATGTAATTCTGAGTAGTTAAAAATGGCTCCCCTTTTTCTCTAGCATTTTGACATTTCAGACTCAATGCTCTGATCCCCAGCAAATGTGATTATTTATTCAAACTAATAATAGAGGAAAAGAGGCAGTTTTAGAATACAGCACATTGAAACCAAATCCTAGTTTTTAATGTGTGCACATCCTGAATATATATTTTCATTAAATAACGAGGCAGATTTAAAAAAAACTGTTATAAAGAAATATGCCTTCCAGGGAATTAATACTTATGTTTGCATCACTGATAAATAAAATATTATTCTTAGCCATCATATGTACATTACTCTTGTAGCCAATTGGGTATTTCCATGTTTTCACCCTAATACTGAATCCTTTTTCTGTCGTAAAAATATTTCTTCCAGGTTTGATTTCTGTATCAGGATAACCTTGAGAATACATGAATTTTTCTGTTTGAGGATTTGTGGCTTCCTATGGAAATCCATTTATTTACAAATGAAATTTAAAGTAGTCTTAAAGCTTTGCCTTAAATACACGAGTAGGAAAGCTTCTACTTGCACAGTGATTTACTTAATGCCAAGCATGGTGGCAGTTATGAACTTGAATATTATAAAACCTGGCTGAATTCAAATATATCAATAAGTTGTTATAGTAAACTTATAGAATAAAAATACTATTATGAAAGACAGTAGCTGAGAAATTTTCATATATTGTAATTTTAGACAAGTGAAATATGGATAAAAATTGATGAATAAAGTATCAAGGGGAGAAAATATGTATAATCTTGTAAGTTGTTTTTTTTTATTTTAAAAAATTATAAAATTTATGCTCACAGTAAAAAATTCAAACAGTAGAAGGTATACATAGAGAAGTCATTTCCCCACTCCCAGGAGTTTGAGTATCATTCCAGAAGTGTTGTGTCCAAATATAAGCATAAACATTTTTCATTTAAAAAGGACATCCATATTTCATGGATGTCTTTCCACATCAGCACATTCAGACCTGCTTCATTCTTCTAAGACTAGATAATTGATTTAGCCAGTTGCCTATGGATGGACACTTTGATTGATCCTGGTAGTTTATACATAACATCTTTACATCCTGGCACAGTGAAAGGGAGTGGGTGAGTACTAGGAAACATTTCCCTAAAAGTTTACAGTTTTCATTGACTAGAAAAGATTCTCATGATTAGAACAGACTTCTGAAAGCAGTGTGTCTGGGCTGGCAGGTGGACTCGAGAGCTCAGGATCTCGTCGCTACTGAAAGAACAAGGTCCTTCCTGTGGCGGTTCTGACATAACTCGTCAGTCACAGACTACTGCTGTCTCCACGGAGTGACTGCAGATCCCTTCAAACAGCAGAAGGGTGGCTTACACATAAAAAGGTCACAGTCACGTCATGTGGAGGAAATAACTGAAGTATTTCAGCAAATAGATAATAGAAAAAAAAAAGTTTCAGAACAAGCTCATATTCATTTAGTATCAATAAAATGGTCTAAAATAAACCAAAAGACCATGATGGCAAGTTAGAGCTGTGTTAATTATGAAACATGACATTTACTGTTTACACTTGGCAGCTGAAAGAATCCCTTTGTAAGGAAGTTGAAAAATAAGTTTTATGTGCATTACGTCTGGACTGTGTCACTCTTAGGAAAAATATGACCAACCACTTAGGATTTGGGGATTATTGTTACCTTTTCCTTCACGTCTGCATCATGGTGATACAGTAAAGCTCTCATTTTCTGGGCACATTCTTCTCCATATAACAGGAAAAACAGTGAACCTTTAGTGAAAGTAGGCTGAACAGCTAAGTGGCCTTCCTTTTCGAGGCAGTTATTTATATTCTGAAATAATGTAAGAACTCGAAGAAGAATCTCCTTTGCCACGTGGCTGTCATAAAGGGAAAGGAATGATGAATCCACCTGAAATAGGAAACAATGAGTATTATTTTAATAACGAAAACATTTTTCACATATATTTTCACATTTTAAAACTGCATTGAATCCATTTTTTTAAATCTTGTCATAGAAAGTTATCCCCAAGACGCATAACATAAATGTAAAATCCTATGCACCCTTACAGTATACTAATGAAAGAAAGGGTTTTTTTTGTGTTTTAACTGAAGAATACTATTTTCTTGGAATCCTAGAATGTAGTCATTTGGGAAAACATCCATTTCCTCTTTAAGATCCATCATCCCGTCTTCATGGGAACTCGTTAATTCCCCAGTCAAACATTTACTGCACACGCACGCTGCGGGGCACGAGGATGAGCAGATGAAGACTACGGGGCCCCTTTCTACAGGAGCCAAGGTCCATTCCACCTCAGCACCTCCTGTGCTTCCTTTGGGACCTGTCACAGCTTTTAGTTATCTTGTTCGCCTGTTACATGTTTTTGTGTCTTCTCCCCAGACTGTAAGCTCCACGAGCACAGCACCACGTCGCGCTGCACTTGCTGGGGGATCTTGGCACTCAGCCCAGCATCTGGCTCATACTGGTAACTCAATAAATGCTAGTGTTTCTGGGGATACTAAGATACCTGTGAATACAAACAGGTCATGTATAAAAGATGTACTGACACAAGTGTACCCCAAATTGGCTAGAGACAGAAACATTATAATTTGTTGTTACTAGGGAGAACTTTTCAAAAATGGTTTTTAAAAGTAAAATATGCTCATTACAGAAAATTCAGGAAATTCATATAAACAAAAAGAACCAAAAAAACCTCCTTTAATATTGCTCCCCAGAGATAATCCCTGTTAACATTTTGGGAAAAATCTTTCCAGATCTATCTGTCCAAATCTATATATCTGTATATTTACAAAACAAATATGTAAGCTATTTACTTGGGCACCAAGTAGTCCTTCTGCCATGGCGGGATTTTCAGACAAATTCAAAAGCAGTTTCAAAACTTGAACCTGAAATAAGAATAATATTGGTTTATTTGACACCAGCAAGCATGAATTTTCTCTCCCTGGCAACTGGCCTCTCACCACTCCCACATTTTAAAGTCCTGCCTATGCTTCAGGGTCTGGCTCGAACTCTCTGCCCCCAGAAGCTTCTCAATTCATCTTAGAAGGGCTGTTTCTGAACTCTTATCCAACTGGGCACCACTCTCAGAGCACTCACCACACAGCAGTGCTATTTAAATCTTATTTTTCCAATTATGCTGTTCCGGAGACAGGGAGAATACTGTAAATGTCTTCACTATCCACCCCCCACCACACACACCTAACACATGGTAAGCTTAACATGTGTTATATAAATGATCTTTTTGATGATCACTGCTCAGTGAACTAGGATCTCTGGAACAAAAAAAGGAATCTCTCAAAGCTCAGGTTATTTCTACTTAAAGTATGAAAATTTTGGAACAGTTTGGTTACCAAGACTAAATAAATAACAATATGGGCCTTTTCTTTTTAGTATGTTACTATCAATCTTTTAGTATGCTTTTTTAAGTGAAAAATGTTTTACAATCATTCAAATAGGCAGTGATAAATAATCAGCAAATGTTAACTTATTGCTGACTAGCTAAAATATTGGCATTCTTATCACTTATAACTGAAAATTCAGTAATAAAAACATTCAAGTAGAATTCCTCTTCTAAAACAAAGGTCATGTAAAACTATACTTTCTAGAAGATACAGAAAGTGGGGAGTAGAAAGGGGGTTCTGAAGTCAGGAAAAGGTGACAGATGTGCTCTCACCAGACCTGGGAAGGAACCCTGATCTCCATTTTATAAAGCTTTTTTTGATTACAAGGGCATTTTGTGTTTACCATAGAACATTTTTTTGTTGTTTTCTTGTGAGGAAGATCAGCCCTGAGCTAACATCCACGCTAATCATCCTCTTTTTTTTTGCTGAGGAAGACCGACTCTGAGCTAACATCCATTGCCAATCCTCCTCCTTTTTTTCCCTTTTTCTCCCCAAAGCCCCAGTAGATAGTTGTATGTCATAGCTGCACATCCTTCTAGTTGCTGTATGTGGGACGTGGCCTCAGCATGACCGGAGAAGCGGCGCGTCGGTGCTCGCCCGGGATCCGAACCTGGGCCGCCAGTAGTGGAGCATGCGCACCCAACTGCTAAGCCACGGGGCCGGCCCAGAACATTTTTTTTTTTTAAAACTATAGAAAAGCACAAAGGAAAAGGAAACTCACCCATATTTCCACGACCAGAAATGATCACTATTAAGTTTTGGTGTTTTCTTTCTGGTCTGTATACACATATTCTATATACTCACATATTCCTCTGATCATGTTGTATGTACATGATATAAAGAGGATATAAGGCTTTGCTTAATTTTATTGTTTTATCAACTATTTAAAAAATATTTATAAAATTAATACATGGGCATGATAAATTTCAAACAGTGCAGAAGGGAACAAGGTAAAAACAAAAGCCACCATCCTATCTGCCCATCCCACTCCCCAGCGGAAACCAGTGGCGACAAACATCCATTTTAAATCATTGCCTCTTAAAGTAAGAGGCAAGCCGACTTCTGACCTTGCTTTAGCACACTCTCTGGAGGTCACAGTCAGATCTAGTCTGGCCTGACTGGCTGTCAGCAACACCAAGAATAATTGTTAGGTATAAACACTGTCTCCAACGTCAATGAAGTTTTGATTAAGAAAACAGGGACAAGAGTTATGAAATAGGATGGTCCTGAACCTATGAAACAAGCCGGGATGAAGTCACTAAAATCTAAAAGGCCCGCTAGTAGTCAATGAGGGCGGGTTTACAACCAGGGAATAGTAACGGCAATAGCTAGTCTCCTGAACTAAAATTCCATGTTGGTATGCTCTATAGAAGGCAGTTAAATGTGAGGAAAAAATATATAAAGTTAAGAGTACAACTATAGATTAAACAGCCGTATGTATTTTGGTTTGAAACCATATTAAGTCCCGTTTTTCTCTTGTCACATGCGCCACCTTGTGGTGACTCCAGGACATTTAACTCAGTTTTCTTTGCTCTCACTGCAGACGTAGCAAACACAGATTTATTAACATTAATCTTCCACTACTTGTATTTAGTTGTGAATCCGTGTTGTACCCAAAAGATTATTACAGTACAGTGAGATCACTTATTAAAAATAAGATTTTTTAAAAAGTCATTTTGGTGGTTATTTACTAAGAAAATATCTAAAACGGATGCATTTTCCCACTAACAAATGGATTAGTATCCAAAAGTTCATCTGCAAGTTGGAACTTTCAACGCATTTTTCAACGCATTTTTTTATGTAGAAACAATGTTAAAACTGATGGGTAGGTTTCCCAGACAGACGAAAAAAGCAAATTCTCTATCCCAGAAATACCATACTAGGCAATATAAATGGAAAAACAAAACAAAAATAGAACATGCTATTGTGGTATGAGTCACCCTTTAAGAAGTCATAAAATGTATTAAAACATAGACCATGTCTGAGACAGATCTATACAGCCCCAAGGCCAGCCTCGCCGTGCTCTGAACTCAGCGTTCCTCTGAGGCTCTGGGTAAGGTGGCTGCAGAGAAAGGCAGAGGAGAGATTTCTCCTATAGCTGCAACACCATGTGGTAGAGGGAAGGGAGTTTCCCGGCTTCACCGCAGACAGATGTAGATGGGCGCACGCATTTTTAAAATTGCCTATGGATGGAGCAATATTGCTAAAATATTGCCAATATGATTATTACATTTAATTTGGAACACCTTTAGGTACATCTTGGACCAGACCCAAATAAGTATGACTACTGGAAATGTGAAAAGCCCACATAAAAACATCTCACAACAAATTTTAAAAGAACTCTAGTGAGGCTCTCCTGTAATCACAATTTCATAACCTCAGAAATAACTTGGGGCCGGCCCCGTGACTTAGCGGTTAAGTGCGCGCACTCCGCTATTGGCGGTCCGGGTTCGGATCCCGGGCGCGCACCAACGCACTGCTTCTCCAGCCATGCTGAGGCCACGTCCCACATACAGCAACTAGAAGGATGTGCAACTATGACGTACAACTATCTACTGGGGCTTTGGGGAGAAAAAGGAAAAAAAAAAAGGAGGATTGGCAATAGATGTTAGCTCAGAGCCGGTCTTCCTCAGCAAAAAGAGGAGGATTAGCACGGATGTTAGCTCAGGGCTGATCTTCCTCACAAAAAGAAAAAAAAAAAAAAAAAAAAAAAAATAACTTGAGTGATGTCGAACATTGGGAGTATGACTTCACATTTGGTCCTTCTAAAATGCTTATGCATTTTTCTCTCATCTGTGCCAGAGAACAGAGACCAACACAGTAAAACTTTGGTGAACAATCAACCCAACTAATCAGAACCTATGGTTAGTCTACATTCTGTTTTTATGCTATTTTTTTTGAAAAATGGCACTTGGTAAGAATGCACAGTAATATGAGGGCTTTACTCAAGTATCTTTCACAGGGCATCTCCTGAGGTCCTACTTAATTCAGCTTGGTCTCTGCTGCCTCCCACATCTACATAACTGATCCAAGTGAAGCACAGAGACATCCATTACTAAAACTTAAAAGTGATTTTAGAAAGATTTTTCAACAAATAATGGCTGAACCAAGAAATGTTTTGTTAACCCTGAGGTAAGCAAAAAATTCCTTTAACCAGTACTATCACTCAGAGATTCCGTTTAGTCACACTGTTCCTATTATCTAGTGGGGGGAAGCTAGCTACTTCACTACGGTAAAAGGTAAACTGATTTTCAGAAAACCAAATGAATATCAATCTATGGTTAAGTGAAATAACAGATGATTTTCACAAGTTAGTTTTCTAATTCAATATTAGAGGATAAAAATAATTTACTTTCTTGGGCCTATGTAAGGGTTTTTAATAAACTTGACTCAACTTTCTCTCTTTTTTGAGGGACATCAACTTAAGACAGGTGACTTGTAAACTCAGTTCCAGTCTTAATAAGCTTAACGCAACAGCTCTTCGTACTTCAAGTCATAACCACTTTGTACCTTTGTGCTTCCGTTTCCTGTGAGCAACACGTGGAACAGGTCTGTGATGTAATTGTTAAGCATGTGCTGGTGGTCATTGGTGACTGTCATGTTTGTTAACAACCTCAGTCCGGCCAGCTGCATAGCAGAGTTCAGGGGACCAGCAAAGACATCCTCACAGACTTGATTGATGTATATCTGAAGGCAGGGGGAAAAAGTAAGCATCTTAGAATCTCCAAAATCCTCTATTAGATGGTTACTTTTCTGCACCACGGAGTAGAACAATCATTCAAGATGAGACTAGCTCCTCAGAAAAGATGACATTGCTATCCAGCCCTCAAACTTTGGTGACTTTTTTTTAAAGCTGGCTTTGTTAATGCCAGGCACTGTGCTGAGCATTTATAAATATATCTCACTTGATCCTTGAGACAACTCTAATGAGGCGGATCTTATTATGGCCATTTTATAGACAAGGACCTGAAATTCTTCAAGGAGTTTGAATTCCCTGGCCCAACATATGCCAGCCAGTGGGGGAGCAATGTCCAACTCTAGAGACCATGCTCTCAACACCAGTGGCCTCTCACTTGTTGGGGGCCTCCCAGCTCAGCCTACCCTTCTGTGTCAACTGGTCTGGGCACACCAGGATTAAGGAGGAACATGTGTGAGGCCATCTTGTATCACGGTAAGTATCTTAACAGTAGGGTCTAGAAGCTACATCATGTTAGAAATAAACAGGGGGACAAAATGAAACAATTTTTCTTTAGAGTTAGTGCTATCAAAAGTAAGCAGAGGTGAGAAAGCATTTGACAAGATAAAGCATCAATTTATGATAAAAACTCTCAATAAAATGGGTATAGAAGGAAAGTACCTCAACATGATAAAGGCCATACATGACAAACCCACAGCCAACATCATACTCAACGGGGAAAAACTGAAAGCCATCCCTCCGAGAACAGGAACAAGACATGGGTGCCCACTCTCGCCACTCTTATTCAACACAGTACTGGAGGTTTTGGCCAGAACAATTAGGCAAGAAAAAGAAATAAAAGGAGTCCAAATAGGCAACAAAGAAGTAAAACTCTCGCTCTTTGCAGATGACATGATTTTATATATAGAGAACCCTAAAGAATCCCTCGGAAATCTATTAGAAATCATCAACAACTACAGCAAAGTTGCAGGGTACAAAATCAACTTACAAAAATCAGTTGCATTTCTATACTCTAATAATGAACTAACAGAAAGAGAATTCAAGAATACAATCGCATTTACAATCACAACAAAAAGAATAACATATCTAGGAATAAATTTAACCAGGGAGGTGAAAGACCTATACATTGAAAACTCTAAGACATTATTGAAAGAAATCGATGATGACAAAAACAAATGGAAAGATTTTCCATGCACATGGATTGGAAGAATAAATATAGCTAAAATGTGCATGCTACCTAAAGCAATCTACAGATTCAATGCAATTGCAATCAGAATATCCCAATGACATTCTTCATGGAAATAGAACAAAGAATCCTAAAATTTATATGGGGCAACAAAAGACCCCAAATAGCTAAAGCAACCCTGAGAAAAAAGAACAAAGCTGGAGGTACCACAATCCCTGGCTTCAAAATATACTACAAAGCTATAATAATCAAAACAGCATGGTACTGGCACAAAAACAGACACACAGATCAGTGGAACAGAATTGAAAGCCCAGAAATAAAACCACACATCTATGGACAGCTAATCTTCCACAAAGGAGCTGAGAACGTACAATGGAGAAAGGAAAGTCTCTTCAATAAATGGTGTGGGAAAACTGGACAGCCACATGCAAAAGAATGAAAGTAGACCATTATCTTTTGCCATACACGAAAATTAACTCAAAATGGATCAAAGACTTGAAGGTAAGACCTGAAACCATAAAACTCCTAGAAGAAAATATAGGCAGTACACTCTTTGACATTGGTCTTAGAAGGATCTTTTTGAATACCGTGTCTACTCGGGTAAGGGAAACAAAAGAAAAAATAAACAAATGGGACTTCACCAGACTAAAGAGCTTCTGCAAGGCAAAGGAAACCAGGAACAAAACAAAAAGAAAAGCCACCAACTGGGAGAAAATATTTGCAAATCATATATCTGACAAGGGGTTAATCTCCAAAATATATAAAGAACTCGCACAACTCAACAACAAAAAAACAAACAATCTGCTCAAAAAATGGGCAGAGGATATGAACAGACATTTTTCCAAAGAAGACATACAGATGGCCAATAGGCACATGAAAAGATGCTCAACATCATTAATCATCAGGGAAATGCAAATCAAAACTACAATGAGATATCACTTTATACCTGTTGGAATGGCTATAATCACCAAGACAAAAAAATAACAAATGTTGGAGAGGATGTGGAGAAACGGGAATGCTCATAGACTGATGGTGGGAGTGCAAACTGGTGCAGCTACTATGGAAAACAGTACTAAGATTTCTCAAAAAATTAAAAATAGAAATACCCTATGAGCCAGCTATCCTACTTCTAGGTATTTATCCAAAGAACTTGAAATCAACAATTCAAAGAGACTTATGCACCATTATGTTCATTGCAGGATTATTCACAAGAGCCAAGAAGTGGAAGCAACCCAAGTGCCCACTGACTGAGGATTGGATAAAGAAGATGTGGTATATATATACAATGGAATACTACTCAGCCATAAAAAAAGACAAAATCATCCCATTTGCAACAACATGGATGGACCTTGAGGGTGTTACGTTAAGCAAAATAAGCCAGACAGAGAAAGACAAACACCGTATGATTTCACTCATATGTGGAAGATAAAGTAACACATGGACAAAGAGAACAGATTAGTGGTTACCAGAGGGGAAGGGTGTTGGGGGGTGGGCGCGTGGGGTAAAGGGGCACATATATATCGTGCCTGACAAATAATAATGTACAACTGAAATTTCACAATGTTATAAACTATTATCACCGCAATAAAATTAAAAAAAAAAAGTAAGCAGAGGCAAAACTATATTTGGCCCAAGGTTCTTTTTATTTACCTAGGTATATGGGTATGAACTACTACTCCATAATATTGTTCACCACCCCTGGCAAAAAGTAACGTAATGCAGCAGTACTCCTATTTCACACGTGATAAACTAAACCTAGAATGATGGAAAGTTTTCTGAAACTCTATTTTCTATGTCTGGCCATGGTCTTTTCACCTTGGAAAAACTATATCTTGCAGATAATTGGTAGTCATCTAACTAAACCTGATCTCCACCAAAAGTTCTAACTGGTAAGAAAATCTTCCTAATATAAAATACTTAGACATTACCAACTGTCCCGTAAGTCAGTATTAACTTTTAAAAAATATCCAATGTATTCATGTCACCATAGAAACTAAAATAATGGCAGTAAAGCAAAAAGAGATTAAATTTTTAATCTGGTTTCAAGATCTAAATGATATTTACAATTCAACTGGCTCTCTTTGGTCATAATTTCATTACATATCCATACTTTAAAAAAAGGGCATTTCCTTAGCTCTTTATAAATCATATTTTTTTCATAAGATGCTGATGTCTTTCAAAGAATTTCCTAAAATGTGTTGAGCATTTATATCCTCATTATCTCTGAAACTTTTCACCATCTCAATTCTAGTAACAAGACTACCAAATGGGCCAGCTCAGCTAATCCTGAAGCTGTGCCCACATCGCCTTGTTCCCTTCTCTTGGAATTCCCTCCTTGCCCAACTCTACCTGTAGAGAGACAGGTTGGACTCTACTTTTTACAGGAACTTTTTTGATGAGATCTCCTCTATGTACTCAACAATGTTTTACTTATATTTTTCCTTAAAGTAATTCTGTAACACGTTCTGCCTTGAATTACAACTATTTATGGACTTGCCTTATCCTCCCTCCTTCTTTTGTTGTTAATGCCATGGAGTTGATTCTGACCCCTAGTGACCCTCTGTACAGCAGAGCAGAACTCTGCCTGGTCTTTTTGCCTCATCCTCTCATCTTCTGGTGCTCTATCAGACAACACTGCTGCTATTCATAGGGTTTTCATGGATAATTTTTTCAGAAGTGGATGGCCAGGTCCTTCTTCCTAGTCTGTCTTAGTCATGGAAGCTCCACTGAAACCTGTCCACCATACGTGACCCTGCTGGTATCTGACATACTGGTGGCATAGCTTTCAGCATCACAGCTACATGCAGCTGCCACAGTATGACAACCAACAGACGGGTGGTGTGGTTCCCTGACTGGGAAATGAACCTGGGCCATGGTAGTGAGAGCACCGAATCTTACCATTAAACCAGCAGAGCTTGCTATCCCTGCTAGCTTTCTTAAACCAAGAATTAATCATGTTCATTTCTAAACTCTGTACCACAAAGCAGGAGCTCAGTAAGTGTTGAATTAACGTAATTTCCTAATTTATTGTATCTTTCTACTGATGTTATCTGATTCCAGCTTGGTTCCTTTTCCACACTTGAATTAAACTGAACCCCAGATTCAAAAGTTCATGCACCTCTTATTGGCTGGTTCAAGTCCCTCCCTCCTCTGCTTTATTCTCTACTAAAAAACGGTCAGAGGACGTGATCAGATATTTTTCCAAAGACATACAAATGGTCAACAAGCACACGAAAAGATGCTCAACATCACTAATCATCAGGGGAATGCAAATCAAAACCACAATGAGGGGCCTGGCCCGGTGGCACAAGCAGTTAAGTGCGTGTGCTCTGCTGCGGCGGCCCGGGGTTCGCTGGTTCGGATCCCGGGTGCGCACCGATGCACCGCTTGTTAAGCCATGCTGCAGCAGCATCCCATATAAAGTGGAGGAAGATGGGCACAGATGTTAGCCCAGGGCCAGTCTTCCTCAGCAAAAAAGAGGAGGATTGGCATTGGATGTTAGCTCAGGGCTGGTCCTCCTCAAAAAACAAAAAAAAAAAACCACAATAAGGTATCATCTCACACCTGTTAGAATGGCTATTATAAAAAAGACAAGAGATAACAAGAGATAAGTGTTTCCGAGGATGTGGAGAAAAGGGAACCCTTGTGCACTGTTGGTGAGAATGTAAATCGTTACAGCCACTATGGAAAACACTATGGAAGTTCCTCAAAAAATTAAAAATAGAACTACCCTACCCAAGCAACCTCACTTCTGGGTACTTATCTGATGGAAATGAAATCACCATCTCGGAGAGAGATCTGCACCCCCATGTTCATTGCAGCATTATTCACAATAGCCAAGACACGGAAACAACCTAAGTGTCTGTTGACGGCTGAATGGATAAAGAAGATGTGGTATATACACAACAGAGTATTATTCAGCCATGAGAAGGAAGGAAATCCTGCCATTTGCAACGAGATGGATGGAACTTGGGGGCATTATGCTAAGTGAAATAAGTCAGACAGAGAAAGACAAATACTGAATGATCTCACTTATATACAGAATCTAAAAAAGCTGAACTCATAGAAAGAGAGACTTCAATGGTGGTTGCCAGGGGCTGGTGTGTGGGGGAAATGGGGAGATGTTGGTCAAAGGGTACAAACTTCCAGTTAAAAGATCAATAAATTCTGGGGATTAATGTACAGGAGGGTGACTATAGTTAATAATACTGTATTGTATACTTGAAAGCTGCTAAGAGAGTAGACCTTAAATGTTCTCACCACAGGAAAAAAACAGGAATCATGTGAGGTGATGGAGGTGTTAGCTAATGCTATGGTGGTAATCATTTCACAATACATACATATATCCAATCATCATGTTGTATACCTTAAATTCACACAATGTTATATGTCAATTACATCTCAAGCTGGGAAAAAAACCAAGGTAATTCTTGGCCATAAAGTTAATTTCATTACTTACCTTTTTGTTATTTTCTCTTTCATTTATAGATAACCTTACACATTTGTGATTTCAGATAATTTACCTTTATCTTGATTTGATTTTCAACATTCACACTCAGGTTATTCAGAGCATTTAAAGCTTTCTCTTTAATACTGTGGTTGGGATTGTTGATTTTGCTTCCAACAATTGGAATACCACCCAATTCACGAATAATGACCTAAGAGAAAAAAACAGGACATGACTTCAGTATATATCCCCTTCCACTGAATTCCTTGCACCCACAAATAAAAATAAATGATTCTTCGGAAGTATCTTTCCCACATACAATCTATAATTCTTTTTTTTTTTTTTTTTGTGAGGAAGATTAGCCCTGAGCTAACATGCGATGCCAATCCTCCTCTGTTTGCTGAGCAAGATTGGCCCTGGGCTAACATCCGTGCCCATCTTCCTCTACTTTATATGGGATGCCACCACAGCATGGCTTCACAAGTGGTGCGTCAGTCAGAGCCTGGGATCTGAACCTGCGAACCCCAGGCGGCCAAAGCAGAGTGTGCAAACTTAACTGCTACGCCACCGGGCCGGCCCATATAATTCCTATTTTTAACAAAATTTTACCACTCATAATATTTTAGGTAAAGAAAATCAATTGAAAATAAAATTATTAAAATATGCAATTATATAAACTATAGCATGGAGATACACAATAAAGATTTGCAGAGCTACTGTAATGATCTCAATGCAATTGACAAAATTATTTTACTTTGAAATAAGTTATATGACTTCTCTATTACAGGCAAATTTGGAAAAGTATTATGATGCAGAATAGTAGTGTTTTGCTAAAATGTATTCTTTAGAACACGAATCCTGCAAGATGTCAACAGATGTTCCATTAAAAAAAGGGAGGTTTCACGGTCAAGTAAGTGTGAGAGACTCCAGGTATGACAAGAGTGAACATGTTTCTCTATCGTGACGCATCGATGTTCATGTGCATGGGGCATCCCCGAGAGGGGAGGCCTGAACATGGCATTTCTATGAACTGTACACAAAAAGAGGGTCACTTTTCAGTAGAGGGGGGTGAGAAGAACACCTAGTAACATCTTGCAGAATTGGAGTTCCACACAATTTGAAAAATGGTGCCCAAATTTCCAAAGGAAAAATAACCAGGGGATTTCTCAATCGATTGCAACAATATGTTACTATGAGCCTTTGGCCCCAACATTGAAAGATACATCAATTGCTTCAGTTTCTTTTTTTCTTTCTTTCTTTTTTTTTTTTGTGAGGAGGACTAGCCCTGAGCTAACATCCGATGCCAATCCTCCTCATTTTTGCTGAGGAAGATTGGCCCTGGGCTAACATCCGTGCCCATCTTCCTCTACTTTATACGGGATGCTGCCACAGCATGGCTTAACAAGTGGTGCATCAATGTGCACCTGGGATCTGAACCTGCATGCGAACCCTGGGCCGCTGAAGCGGAGCACATGCACTTAACCGCTGTGCCACAGGGCTGGCCCCCAACTGCTTCAATTCTTAGAAGAAAAATAAGCTGAAAATGACTACTGTCAGGCCAAGACATGACATTCTATCAGAGGAAGAGAAAAACAGTATCTTGCCATCATCCACTTTTTACCAACGGCCCAACTCTACTCTGCTGTTAAGGGTGGGCATAGCATTAGGAAAAAAAGAAACTTTCCCCCTGCAATTTCAGGTTCTTCCCAAGGACTTGTGGTTACTAGAAAATGGCTTTTTTTTTCACTGTACTGTTAAAGCAGATCAAGGCACTATAACCGATGATGAGGAGCACTACATCCCATTACCCAAGAAAGTACTTGTTCACCAGTGACTAGTGACCTGCTCTGACTACAGTTTTTCAGAGGGATATAAAACTATGGCATCAGAAATACCCCAACAGAGGCATGCTAATAAATCAGTCATCATCTGTTGTTTTTCTTTGCCTGGCACCCCTCTTTCCACGGGGGCAGACATGGCACCTCCTCTATCCCATAAAGTCCCTAGTGGGCCTGCTGGTCAACTGTGTTCACTATCCTTGCTGTTGGGCTGTAGGATGCTAATGTGAACCAGGCATTGCAATCATAGTCCACGGTGCCTTGACCCAGCAATTGATCCAAAGGGTTGGCACTTGATCCTAGCAGAACAACTCTACCTTTTGGATCCTGAGCTGCCAGGATGGAGGCTTGAGAGGCCAGTGGCTTTCTTTCCATCCCTGTGAAGAAAATCTCTTTGTAACCTGACAGACAAAGACCAATACACAAAAAGCAGTAGGGATAAGCAAAGCCAAAAGACAGAGAGCTCTGATAACACTGTTGGTAACCTTGAACTGTATTCACTTGTATCTGAAACCCATGCTGTTCTTAGATGTCCAAGTTAACTGAGCTCAATATTTTCCCTTTTTGGTTTAAAAGAATTTAAGTTGGGTTCTGTCACTTGCAACTGAAAGAATGTGAACAATATATAAACATTCTTTATTTCTCCCTAAAAATCTCTAGAGCTTTAGAGTAAAGCTTGCCACGCTAGAGAAAAGTGGACTGAAATAAAGTACAAATTCAAAATAATTTTACATTCATGACAAAGTTAACAAAGGGCATTAGCTGAAAAAAATAAATTTTTTACTCTTTCTCCATGTCAGGAGAGGGGAGAAGGAAGCATTCAAACAAAGCTCTTTAGTCTTGGTGCTGTCTCTACTTGTAGAAGCCATTTACATTGGTTAGTGGTTGTCAGAGTGTGGTCCAGGGACCACCTACAACAGAACCAACCTCGTAAAACCTATATACAATGTAAAGCATATACTTAAATATTAGATGCTTTCATTGTTACTGCAGCACTGCTGAATTTTAAATAATTAAAAAGGCCACCTAGCCTGGCGGTGTAGTGGTTAAGCTCGCATGCTTCGGCGGCCTGGGTTCGCAGATTTGGATCCCAGGCGCAGATCTACGCACTGCTTACCAGCCATGCTGTGGCAGGCGTCCCACATATAAAGTAGAGGAAGATGGGCAGGAATGTTAGCCCAGGGCCAATCTTCCTCAGCAAAAAAGAGGATTGGCAACAGATGTTAGCTCAGGGCTGACCTTCCTCACCAAAAAAAAAAAAAAAAAAAAAAGCCATGTAATGTAAGTGTTGATTAGATACTCTTACTACAAATGTGATGCCTGTGACCAACTTCATAGGGATTTAGAATCTTATTAATAATCACATTACTATTAGGCTGTGCTTTTCAGAAGTAAACAAACATTATGCTCTAAGTATAAGTAGTCACATTGTAAAGAGGAGGACATTGAGGCTCTGGGAGGTTAAGTAACCTATCAGGGTCACAATTACTGCTAGTGTGTAAGAATGGGAAGAGCCAGGGGCTGGCCCTGTGGCATAGCGGTTAAGTTCGTGCATTCTGCTTTGGCGGCCTGGGGTTCGCAGGTTCAGATCCCAGGTGTGGACTGACGCACCGCTTACCAGCCATGCTGTGGCAGGTGTCCCACATATAAAGTAGAGGAAGATCGGCATGGATGTTAGCCCAGGCACAATCTTCCTCAGCAAAAAGAGGAGGATTGGCAACAGATGTTAGCTCAGGGCTAATCTTCCTCACAAAGAAAAAAAAAAAAAGAATGGGAGGAGCCTGTTTGCTGAGACTAGGGTATAGGCCTACCTCGGAGATATTGTGGGTTCAGTTCCAGACCACCACAGTAAAGCGAATATTGCAATAAAGCGAGTCACACAAATTTTCTGTTTTGCAGTGCACATAAAAGTTATGTTTGCACTGCAATGTAGTTTATTAAGTGTTCAATGGCATTATGTCTAAAAAAACAATGTACATCCCTTAATTTAAAAATGCTAACCATCATCTGAGCCTTCAGCAAGTCATAATCTTTTTGCTGACGGAAGAGTCCTGCTTCAATGCTGATGGCTGTTGACCGATCAGGGTGGTGGTTGCTGAAGGCTGGGGTGGCTGTGGCAATTTCTTAAAATAAGACAACAATGAAGTTTGCTGCATGGATTGACTCTTCGTTTCATGAATGATTTCTCTGTAGCATGTGATGCTATTTGACAGTATTTTACCCACAGCAGAACTTCTTTCAAAACTGGAGTCAATCCTCTCAAACCCTGCTGCTGCTTTATCAACAAAGTTTATGTCACATTCTAAATCCCCTGTTGTCATTTCCACAATCTTCACAGCATTTTCACCAGGAGGAGACTGCATCTCAAGAAACCACTTTCTTTGCTCATCCATAAGAAGCAACTCCTCATTCGTTAAAGTTTTATCATGAGATTGTAGCAATTCAGTCATATCTTCAGGCTCCACTTCTAATTCTAGTTCTCTTGCTATTTCCACATTCACAGTGACTTCCTCCACTGAAGTCTTGAACCCCTCAAAATCATCCATGAGGGTTAGAATCAATTTCTTCCAAACTCCTGTTAATGTTGATATTTTGACCTCTTCCCATGAATCACGAATGTTCTTAACGGCATCTAGAATGATGAATCCTTTCCAGAGGTTTTTTCTTTTTCCATTTTATTTATTTATTTATTTTTTGTTTTTGTGAGGAAGATCAGCGCTGAGCTAACATCCGTGCCCATCTTCCTCTATCCTATATGCGACGCTGCCACAGTATGGCTTGACAAGCAATGCGTCGGTGCGCACCCGGGATCTGAACTGGCGAACCCTAGGCCACCGCAGCAGAGCGCGCGCACCCAACCACTTGCGCCACCGGGCCGGCCCCCCCTTTCCAGAGGTTTTTAATTTACTTTGCCCAGATCCATCAGAGGAATCACTATCTATGGCAGCTATAGCCTTATGAAATGTATTTTTTTTTTTTTTTTTTGTGAGGAAGATCAGCCCTGTGCTAACATCTGCCAATCCTCCTCTTTTTTTGCTGAGGAAGACGGCCCTGGGCTAACATCTGTGCCCATCTTCCTCCACTTTATATGGGACGCTGCCACAGCATGGCTTGCCAAAGCAGTGCGTCGGTGCGCGCCCGGGATCCGAACCAGCAAACCCCGGGCCGCCGCAGCGGAGCGCGCGCAATCAACCGCTTGTGCCACCGGGCCGGCCCCTGAAATGTATTTTTTAAATAATAAGACTCGAAAGTTGAAATTACTCTTTCATCCATGGGCTGCAGAATGGATGTTGTGTTAGCAGGCATAAAAATGTTAATCTCATTATACATCTCCATCAGAGCTCTTGGGTGACCAGGTGCATTGTCAGTAAGCAGTAACATTTTGAAAGGAATCTTTTTTTCTGAGCAGTAGGTCTCAACTTAAAATATTCAGTAAACCATGTTGTAAACAGAGGTGCTGTCACTCAGGCTTTGTTGCTCCATTTATAGAGCACAGGCAGAGTAGATTTAGCATAATTCTTAAGGGCCCTAGGATTTTCAGAGTCATAAATGAGCATTGGCTTCCACTTAAAGTCACCAACTGTATTAGCCCCAACAAGAGAGTCAGCCTGTTCTTTGAAGCTTTCCAGCCAGACGTTGACTTCTCTTCTTTAGCTATGCAAGTCCTAAATGGCACCTTCTTCCATCATAAGGCTGTTTCATCTACATTGAAAATCTGTTGTTTAGCGTAGCCACCTGCATGAATTATTTTAGCTTGATCTTCTGGGTAACTTGCTGCAGCTTCTACATCAGCACTTGCTACTTCCCCTCGCACTTTTATGTTATAGAGATGGTTTCTTTCCTTAAACCTCATGAACCAACAACCTCTGCTGGCTTCAAACTTTTCCTCTGCAGCTTCCTCACCCCTCTCAGCCTTCAGAGAATTGAAGAGAGTTAGGGCCTTGCTCTGCATTAGGCTTTGGCTTCAGGGAATGTTGTGGCTGATTGGATCTTCTGTCCAGATCGCTAAAACTTTCTCCCTATCAGCAATAAGGCTGTTTTGCTTTATGTTCATTTGTGCGTTCACAGGAGTAGCACTTTTAACATCCTTCAATAACTTTTCCTTTGCATTCACAACTTGGCTAACTGGTATAAGATAGGCTTTCGGCCTATCTTGGCTTTTGACATGCCTTCCTCACTAAGCTTAATCATTTCTAGCTTTTGATTTAAAGTTAGAGATGTGCGACTCTTCCTTTCACTTGAACACTTAGAAGCCACTGTAGGGTTATTTACTGGCCTAATTTCAATATTGTTGTGTCTCAAGGAATAGGGAGGCCTGAGGAGAGGGAGAGAGATGGGGGAATGGCCTGTCAGTGGAGCAGTCAGAACACACACAACATTTATTAAGTTTGTCATCTTATATGGGTGCAGTTCATGGAACCCCAAAACAATTACAATCAAAATATCTAAGATCACTGATCACAGATCACCATAACACATATAATAATAATGAAAAAATTCGGAATACTGCGAGAATTACCAAAATGTGACATAGAGACACAAAGTGAGCAAATGCTGTTGGAAAAATGGCACCGATAGACTTGCTCGACGCCAGGTTACCACAAACCTTCAATTTGTAAAAAACACAATGTGAAGAACAATAAATCAAAGCACAATACAATGAGGTAAGCCTGTCCTCACCTGGTTAGCTGAAAAGGCTGCACTGTTACCCAGAGTGACCAAAGCTCTTTCAATAACTACAGGATCCTCAGTTGACTCAAGCAGGTAGAGGAGCTTCCGAAGTTGCTCAGCATTTAGGACATCATCATGTGAGCCATTGGTTAAGTCTTCTGCATAAGAAGAAAATTATTTAAAGTTCACCTAAAATCAACATGAGATTTAAAAAAATGTAAACATAATATCGGACGCATACTCTGATGCCAGGCATTGTGTTGAGCACTTTAGGTGCTGTATCTCATTTAATCCTCAAGTACCCCTAGGAAGAAGATACTATTGTAACTCTCAATTTACAGATGGGAAACAGAGGCTTATCGACATTAAGAAATTAGCCAGCGATCACTTGGCATTTCTCTTTTATAAGGTACTGCAAGCAAATAATATAAACCCCTAATGCTGATTGCATTTTCTGTTTCTTTTAAAAATCTGGGCACATTCATCCAAGAGAACATTTGCCTACAGGCATATATTAATTAAGGAATAGGATGTGCATTAAGCAGACCTTTTCTGATCATAATTTTAAGAGCCCCTCAGGCAGGAGAAAGAGCTATGGGAGTAACCCAATCGTGCTGCTGGTGTGGCATCTTTGTTTGGTTTATATGAACATGGCATGGTGACTCGGATGCTTGTTCTAGCAGTCCTGCAGGGGGTGATGACAAAAGAAAAGCTGTCATGTTGAGTAAAAACTAGAGTAGTTAAATGCTGGATCTGCTTAGTGGCTTTTAGAATTTATAGCTCTAACCTTAAAAAAAAATCCTCTTTACAGAACTCATCAAAAATGAAACCATTTTTATAACACTATTATTGTGTTATAAACACAGAACATGATTCCTTAAAAATGAAACTATGATTATAGGTCAGACAGTGCATGTGTCCACAATACGCTGCTGGGAGGGGGAGAGAAGGCTACACAACAATAGTTACTACATGATGTCACATCCCTACTTTTCCTTTTTTAAAAATATTTACGAAATTATTACAGGCAGTTATCTTTGGGTGCTGGGATTACAAGCAACTTTCATTTTCTACCCTGTGCTAATAAGTTACTTTCTGATTTTTTTTTTTTTACAGTAAACATGTATTGCTGCTGTAATTGAAATACTTAAGTATACTGCCTAAAAAAGAAACATGAAAAATATGAGGGAAAAGGACAAGTACAGATTATGGGAACCAATAAGTGATATGATGTCCTGAAGAAGGAAAATAAGAAATCAACTGTGATGAAAAGCTAAAAAGCCAGCGGATTCTTCCTCCCAAATTGTATGATTAGGACCTTTTATGCCTGAACACACTAATGGCTTCATCCACACCTCTTAAAACAGGGTTTCCCCCAGAGAATAGTTGAAAAGATAAGTGACAGAATGATAAAAACACAGATTTTTAGAATGGGAGGAATTTGGGGTTGACCCAAACCTCTGATTTTATACACAAGGAAACTGAAGCCAGGATCATTTAAGGATGTGCCTAAAGTCACAGAGGAGCTAGTAGCAGAGACCAGAGAGACGAAAATACAAAGCTGCAGGCAAGCCACTTAACCTCTTTTTGGGTCTCAGTTTTCTCATCTGTAAAATAAAAGGGTTGGTCATAGACAATAACTGGTTCCAAAGGTTCCTACACAGCTCTGCAGCTGTGTGATTTTATAAACATACACACGGCAGAAATACGATAAATTTAACTCGTCCATACTTCCAAGATATTTCAAGATACTATTAGTTCTTTATATATTTTCCTACAAAGACATTTAAAAAAAGTTTTATAGATATATAAATTATTTATAAACAGCCAAATAAAATTTTATGGGAAAAGTGTCAGATCAGGATTTTCACTTGAAGGGAGGAGGTGCACGTGGTAGTGAAGAGTAAGCCCAGGCTAAGGAGCCCGACCGTCTAGTTCAGACGCCAGCTAAGCCACGTGCCAGCCGAGAGACTTAACCTCTCCAAGCCTCAGTTTCTTCATCTATTAAATGGAAGTCAAGGGCCCCTGCCCTAAAGCAGTTTTGTGCCTAGAACACTGCGAAAGCCGGGTATATTTTAGTTATTATTTTTATTAATAGGACACACGGCTGGTTAATAACAAAACTGGCTCTAGAATCCAGATCTTTCCACTCACAGTCCACCCCCCACCCCAATCTGTTAAAATGATGAGCTTTGTTTAAATGTTGTAAATAAATCCTAACTTCTCTGCTTGAATTTTTAATAAAAACCGTGTACTACTTTTTCAGGAAAGAAATAAAAAGCTTAAAACTTGCAAGACATTAGAGCATGGGGATCACCTAATCCCCAGTGTGTCCACTGGTGGGTTTCTGAACTGCTATTACCCAGGGGAGGCAGTCAAATGTGTGCGTCCTAGCTCTCCACTGAGCTCTGTGCCCATACGACCGTGACAGAACTATAGGCTTAGTGGCTCACCATCTCCTCAAGTAAACGGAAGAGAAATTACAATTCTCAAAGGAAATGAAAAGTGACTACCAAATAATACATTATGGTTAGATAAATTTCAAGATAATTGTCATGGTACAGAGTCATTCCAACCAGGAACATAACATGCTTTTCTGTTTATGCAGTCTTATGTCCTTCATTAAAATGATCTTTATATAGGCTTCTTGCTAGATGTATTCCTAGCTTTTAAAAGTTTTTATAGCTATCACGAATGAAATCTTTTCAATTAAATTTCTGAATTGGTTATTCCTTGTATATAAAAAGCTATTGATCCGGGTATATTTATCTTGCATTCAATTTACTTTATTGATCTCTTACTGCTTCTAAAAGTTATTCAGTTGATTCTTTTGGACTTTTCCAAGTAAATCATTATGTCATCTACTAATTATAATTTTGCCTCCTTTTTAACATTTATGTTTTTTTTTTCCTTATCTTATCAAGCTAGCCATGACTCTATGACAATGCTGAATAATAGTTTTGATAGCAGGCACTCTTCTCTTGTTCTTGAATTTAGTAAGGATGCTAACAGTGTTTCACCACTAAATACAATGTTTGCCTTTGGTTTTTGATGGATGCTCTTCATCAATTTAAGAATATATCCTTCTATTTATCCTAACTTGCTCCAAGATTTTATCAGAAATGATACTATTCAAATGTCTTTTTGTTATGAGGTCATTATGTGTTTTTGCTTTTCATCGACTAATGCAATAAATTACATTAATATATTTCCCAATATGAATTCTCCTTACATGTCCATTTGGCCTTGTTATATTATTACTTTAATCCCCTGACAGATATGATTTGCTAATATTTCATTTAAGATTTTTATATCTTTATTCATAATTGAGACAGATTTGTAGTCTTTTCATGCTATCCTTGTCAGGTCTTGGTATCAGATTGTTGAATGAATTGAGACTATTTCTATCTTTTTCAATGGTTTTGAACAGTACAGGAATTACAAATTTCTTGAAGTTTAAGACAAAGAAAAGATCACCCAATTCTGGTTCAAGATGGTGATGTAGGAAGATCCTGAATTCACCTCCTTGCATGGACACACTAAATCTACAACTATATTTGGAATAATTCTCTCTGAAAGAAATCTGGAAACTAATTGAGTGACTCCTATACACTGGGCGAATGAGAAATAACACACATTGAAATGGGTAGGAGAGGCTGAGACACAATCTTGCCACAAACCCCACCCTTGGTGCAGCAACACACAACCGGGAGGGAACTCACAACTCCCAGCTTCTCCCTGAGAGTGAGGGGTTTGGACTCCACATCCTGTGCTGCAACTTTTAAGACTTCCACCTGAGAGATGGGTACCCAAAACATCTAGCTTTGAAAGCCAACGAGGCTTGTGTCCACAAGACCCACAAGGCTATAGCGAATTAAGAGAGAGTTCTCAAAGGGCTTGCACAGACTCACAATGGCTAATCCCCCATGGCCCAGGAGAGGCAGCAGACTGAAACCAGTCTTTCCATGGAAAAGGCTTATTTGTTTATCTTAATAGCTGCAGCCTGAGGGGCAGGCTTCTATTTTAACATACATGAAGGGGCCAACAGCAATACTCTCCAGAGAGGGGAGGCCAGACAGGCACCATCTTTGCACTCTCCCCCTGCCTTACTCCAGGTCACTGATATCTCCCAGAAAGGAGCTTGTGCACATGTCTAGCACTCTAGTTTTTGCAGCTGCCGCCCAAAGGACTCCCCTTGATCACCTGGCTCTGGTGCCCAGCAGGGCTTGTGTTCACGTGTTCAATGGGACAATAGCAAACAAAGAAACAGTTCTTAACTGGCTATCCCCACCCTTCCCCCTATCCGGCTCAGTACAGAGGGAGCAGACAGAAACACACACCTCCCAGTCTTCTCCTGAAAGAGGTCAATTTGCATACTTTAAAAGCTGCTGCCAGAGGGTCCGGCTTCCAATCAGCCTCAATCTAGGTGCTGACTGAGATCCTCCTCTTTGGGACACTGACAGGTTTTGGTACACCCTCAACTACTGGGAACTACTATTAAAGATCACCTAAAGATCAACTACTTTTAAAAATAAAACAGGCTGCCTGGACAATAACAAAGTTTTGACAGACAACCAAGAACTGGGGCATGGCTGAACAATAAGGTTCATCTCCTGCACAAGACTACTCCTTCAAGAATGGGAGAGGTGGCTGTTTCATCTAAAGCACAGAAACCAACACAGAGAGTCAAGCAAAATGAAGAAACAGACGAATATGTACAAAGGAAAGAACAAGATAAAACCTCAGAAAAAAAAATATTACTGAAATAGTTAAGTAATTTACCTGATAAAGAGTTCAAACTAATGGTCATAAAGATGCTCACTGAACTTGGGAAAAGAATGGATGAACACAGTGAGAATTTCAACAAAGAGACAGAAAACGTAAGGAAACACCAAAGAGAAGTCACAGAGCTGAAGAATACAGTAACTGAACTGCAAAATACACTAGAAGGGTTCAAAAGCAGACTAGATAAAGCAGAAGAAAGAATCAGTGAACTCTAAGACACGGCAGCGGAACTCACCCAATCAGAGCAGCCAAAGTAAAAAAAGGGAAGACAGCTTAAGGGACTTACGGGACAACATCAAGTGGGCCAACATTCACATTATAGGGGTCCCAGAAAGAGAAGAAAAAGAGAAAGGGGCGGAAAATTTATTTGAAG